CCCCCCTTCCTGAATCTATGATACAGCTTCTTTATTACCAATATTACTGTGTAATACAGTAACCTCAGCTCTGGAATCTGTCAAAGCTAACACATGTAAAATCCCCCCAGACCATCAGTGTATAGACAGATGAACACAAGGGTGTCCGTTCCCCTCACCATAAGAGGCTGCACTAGCAGCAAATTTCGGGGACCTGCCAACCCTTAATTTGTACTTTTTTGGCATTTGCCAGGTAGTGTCTTGCCTTGAGTGGCAGGCGGAGTAGAGGGTGGGTGCAGAGTTGGTGGTGGGGATAGAGGCGGTCTGCTTTTTTGCATAAATGCTAAGTTTTGCAATTGATGAAACATTTCTGATGCCGTGATCCCATCTACTTCTGATTGTGGGGCACCATCTCGTACAAGTTCATTCCTCATATCTCCTTATCACCCGTGCTGTGGCTCCTTTCATATTTGCTGGCTTTCCTTTATTCACCACCCAAACAGATGTTCCCGACATTACAGCCCCAATTTCCCTCAAGATACCTGCTAGAGCATCTACATTACCCATAGCATTTGTCACAGCTGGTATAATCAAGGGTTTTAGTGAGGCAGGCACTACTCTCAAAAACTGCATTTTGATATTTCTCATTACTGCTACCCTGTCTGGATTAGATTTCGTAACCAACGTGAGCCATCCCTATCTGTCACATCAAACTAATACCTTTTACCATTGTATCCCAGTTCCTGAGGGACAACATTAATTCTGTAGATTCTGTATATGCTGTTAACATTGATGCACACAACTAATGACATAGCACAGGTGCAATAATATTTCACCCATCAGGACCTCTGGTATTTTGCAACAGAGCATATCTTTGTTTTATCTGATCAGCATTGTCTATAGGGCTTAATAAATCTTTTTCATGCACTAATAAATGAAGAGATGCAGCTCCACTATCTCAAGCTCACAAAAAGCATGCCAGTATGCTTCCCCACTCTGTTGTTGATAATTCTCTTAAAATTCCTTCAACTCTTTTGGAGTGTAAGTACATGCAAGCTGCATTCCCCCATCTGCTTGCTCCTGCTGCCCCTTCATTTGTCTGAGTGGTCATGCTTCCACCATCTTCCTGCCTTTTAAGTCCGGATCAAATTCAAACTTGGTCTTGGAGTCTGAGCATTCATTCTGAGTATTTCCATCACATTCCTTACGATCCCATGACTATTTTGAGGTGAGAGCATGGACTTGGGAAATTGAAACTTTACTTTTCCCATATTTGTCCCTTCGCTTAGTAGCGACACATGCTACCAACCACTCTACATATCTTTTGGATCATAGCATTGCTCTGCTTGAATAGTGATTACTTCTGGTACAATCGCTTTGCATCTTGTTAAGTCCTGACCTCCTCTTCCCATTCTCTCATTTTACTCTGTAATGCAACAACTTCATGGTCAAGAGCTCTAAGACCAGTAACTAATAACCATCACAACTGCCCTGCTAACTTGCAAAAAGAATCTTGCTTTCCACAGTGATCTGCATATAGCCATTGCAATTGTTTTAGGGGTAATGGCTGCCCTTTCATCTGTTTCAGGCCATGCTTCCAGCAGAGTCAATTTAGCCAGAAAAGCAGCCACAGGAGTCCAGTCCTCAGTACCAGACCATCTCAGAATAAGGGAGACACTGTCATGGCCTTCCCAGTCCCTGACTTCTTTTTTAGCCATGGCAATGGCTGTTCCTGGATCCTGCTGACAACGCCAAAGTGTGAGCTGACACAGGCAGGAACTACCACAAAACCATGGATGAAATGCAAGAGTACATTTATTTCATTACCTCACAACTTGGGGGATCTCTGCAGCAGCACCCGGGCAGAGGCACACAAGCAGGGATGCAGGCACTGCAGAGCTTGGTCCTTCTTAGCCAGAAAAAGGAGAAGAAAGAAAAAATCTTGAACCTGCTGCTTTCATCTGTATATACCAGGGATTTCTGCAGGCATAGTTTTCCACTGTGGTATGATCTTTCCCACAGTAGGACAGGAATCTCAGGGATGTTCATTAAGGTGTGTCTATCACAGATCTATATTACCTGAAAGAAAATGTTCTACCAAGCACACAAAGCTAAACAGCAATTAGTATGATATATATGGTTTTTGACACCTCAGCTGCAAGTCACTTCAGTGTGTTTACCAACCTCCTCACCAATCTTCCATTGTATTCCCACAACGACCTCTCTTCAGGTAGAAAATGAATGGGTAGTTTTATAATAACATGACGCATTAATGTAATAAAAAATTATGTATGGCAATATTAAGATTTGAAGATACTACATAGAAAAGTAAGTATTCAGAAAATGTACAAAGTTATTTGGAAACCAACTTTGAACCACATACTTAGCTCATATTGCAACACAAAAATGTAATGTTACTTGCAACCAAAATAAAAAACCCCAAACTTCCCCAACTATTTGTATCATGGTCCTGATTTGTATATAATGTTCCTGCAACTAAAGGAACAGTTTAGCAGCAAACACAAGTAATTTATTTTAAAGCACCTTTTTTTTTCTCTATATTTCCTTAAAACTTCTGAAGCAATTGTAAGAGGTTTTAAAGTGAATTAATGACTTTCACATCTTCATGTGTATCAGTTTCATGACGAATATTCCAAGACATATTTTATATTGAAGATAGAACATTATAATAAAACAAATCAGCTGGCAAACGCATACAGTATTACAAAGAATTAAAATCCCTTTATCCACCATCACAACAATAAATGACAATTTATGATGACATGTTTAGTACTTGAGCCAGAAGAAACATAATTAGTAACTATAAAATCATTTAGCTTTATTAAATAAAATCCTTTGATATACTTACTGTTCCAAGAAATGTAGAAAAAAACATTTCCAGATATTCTTTCATGCTAAATGGGAACATTGAGCAATGGTTTTCTTTTTCACTTGCCTGAAGCAAGTTAGGGTAAATGTTGGACATACATTTTGAAAATTATTATGTATTGCAATATACCAATATTGTCTTTCTGATTATATTAAACAGTAGCACCATCTACTGGTCCAGAAGATCCTTTCAAACTTTAGAAAAAGCTGTGGAGAGTGATCCTGTCAAAATGACACAAAATGCTACTGAGAGTAACACATAGTTTTTCAGTCCCTGGAGAGGCAAAGGGAGAGAAAAAGAAAAATATCAAGTTGTCATAATAGATACCACTTCACAAAAAAAAAGTAAAATAAAGAACTAGGGATTAATTTTATGACAAAATTAATAAAGCCACTACATGAAATGGTAAAATTTATTTCAGGTAATGTTTGTAATGTATCTGGTCTTCAAAACAGTTTAGTACAAGTAATGTATGATGCCATACATTTAGTAAAATATTCACAGAATTAATTCAGCAATTTTTAAAAGTATTTTTAAAGGCCTTTGTCTATTTTCAGATTATTTTTAAGCAGTCAACACTTATGCAGAGACTATTCTAGAATGTATGAAAAGGATGAAAGATTTGGTGAGTCACAAAGATTTGGATAATGAACATGATGGTCTTCTAGTGTAGTGCAACATTAATCTGCAGTGGGAGAGAGAGAAAACTTTTACTTCCTGATCCCTGGATGCCTAACACGTTTTACCCAGTCACCAAAAATATTGGGAAAAATGATCTGCAATGGCAAATTAGGCACCTATAGATTGTGGACAGATTAGCTAAGGGAACCTGAAGATTACACTACTAGCATTCAATGCTTCAAGTTCCACTGGTAAAATAGTTTCTGTCATATATGTTAACATCCAGTAAATTAGCTTGTTCTAGGCAATCACTGCCATATCAGTTTAGAATCTCTACATTAATTAGCAAGGCTCTACTGTAATTAGCAAGGCCAGTAACCATCATCTCATTTTTTGGTCCTTTGGTGAACCTGACCCTCAAAGTCTAATCTACTTGTCTATGTGATTATTAGGACAACCGCTTATTCCGTTGCCCCCCCTGAAAGAACTGGCTCAAATAAAGACTGTTTTCAGGTTGTGCTTGGCATCCTGCCTCCTGACCCTGCTACAATCTTCATTTACTCCCACTGCTGCTCATACAGTTATGGAATTCAAATCTTTATCCCTGTAAAAATTGTTCACAATTCTTCATCCTTTTTGGAAAAAGTATTGCATGATATGACTTTCACCTTCATAATGCAATATTTGTAAGGAGGAGATAAGAGATACAGCTGTATACCGAGTCATGCTGTTCCTAAAGCTAGAGACAAACAAGAGGGACTAGGTAAGAGACGCAATAAAATTACCTTGATTTCTTTAAATACAAGGACTCCCCACATTGCAGCAACAAGGCCAGGACCCTAAAGAATAAGATTCATTCATACATTACAGCATTTCATTAAAATGTACGGTCTTCTCATTATTGTTGTCAGGGTGATTGAATTTTGTCCGGATAACCAATTTAGACCTTTCTATTCCGTATAATTACATCACTCACAGCAAAAGCATAAAAAACACTGAAATCTTTATGAAGTAAGATACAATAAAGTCTTCAAGAAAGGATAAAGAGGTGAGACTTTTTTTCAGAGAAGGCACAATTTCTCTCTAAATTTCACTGGGGGGGGTCTACATGTTCTTTTAGAAAGCTCCAAGTAATATGCCTCACTTCAGTCCAAACTATAGTCCACAATGTTACTACATTTCAGAGGACTATTCAGGTTTATTGGCAGCTGCCATGGATATTCCTAAAATTTCCTTTATTAGCATGATAACTAGTTGGACACAGTGTTTTATTGTTTAGAACAATATTAAGAGATTGGAACATAACTGTATTTCATGTATAGCAGGCATCTGGGCAAAGCACAAAGCCAGCCAGATAGACAGGTCAGGGAAATTACTGATTATCTGTGATGCTGTTGTACAGACTTCCTAGCTAACAGCAAACAGTGGCACACAGTAATTCCCACGCAGTCCTGGTAATAGTTTTTACCCTGTGGAAGCAATGATCTGAATTTGCATGACTGATGAGAAAATATTGTCTGAATATGAAGCAAAACCTGGTTCTGTTAATGCTTCCCATTAGAGCTGCTCTCAGAAACACTTGACAGATGTTTGGACAGTGATCTTCCTCTCCCCAGCTTCAGTACGGCTGATAGGACACAGATTCAGGCCAGCAGGAAACAGTGTCTCATGCTGATTGTATTTGTGGGTGTTGTTTCCTAGTAAAATTGCCAACTATTACTTGAGTAATAGCTAAGGTGTTATTTCACTTTCTAGATAATGTATGCTGCAAGAGGAATGCATTTTGAAAATGAAACAAATTGTTAAAGGGACTGATGTATAGCTGTCTGAAATTCTCTCTAGGATGAAGTAAAGCAGCAGCTCTGAACCCGTGGAACAGACAGGCAGTTTCTCACCAGTGCTGTCCTAAAAATTCTTCATTTCATGATTTTATACCCTTGCCCTTCAGGCATACTGATAACTAAGTTACTAAAGCTGCTTTCCATTAATCTTTCTAATTAGAATGATCTCAAGTCTTTTTTTTTTTCACTGCATACTGCAGAGTTTATTCTGATTTACTGCATCTTGAGACAAAGCTTAATCCCTATTAACGTTTCATTAGTCTGCTTCTGAAATACAGCTGTTCTGCAAAACTCTGGTTTTGGTATTTATGAACTCTCATTTGCCAGAAGCTATCCATCATCTAGTAGATTGACAAGAGAGAAAAGGCAAAGTTTATTTTTACTTAGTGATGGAATTGATGCAGCTTCTGGAAATTAACAGTGCCTCAAAGGTACAGTATCATAAATAGGAATAAAACAGCAAAACAGGCCAACCTATTGCTCCCTCATTTGCACAATAACTTTATTTACAGCAATACATAACCTGTTCTGTTTGTTCAAGAACTGTAAACAGAAAAAATACTGACTTAATTAAGCAAAATGACTGCTTAAATGACTAGAGGATAAAAATCACTAATGAAAATATCCAGAACAAAATGAACTTGTTGGGATGAAAGCATAGAACATTTATTCCTTTAATCACTTCAGTTTGCTATTTAATATTGTTATAGTTCTGTTTCTAGAGCTTTGGCTTTTACATAACCTAAAGACTCACATGTTCAATTCTTCTGTTTTTTATGCTTGCCATTGACCAAGATGTCTGTGCTAGCCTTTGTTTTTTTAGGAACATACAAGCAGAGAGTGATGCATACACTCTTGATTAAAATGCTCTAGATGTCATAATTTTAACTTAATTTTATGAATGGGAGGGAAAAAGAAAAAACCCTTCACTTTATTTTTTATATACTTACTGCAGTAATTATTGGAAAGCTGACCACAGCACTGAGATAGTGATTGGCTATGAACCAGCAGCAATTGGCTATTGCCCAAAGCACACCAGAAACAAACCCTAGAAAAATAAATCTCAATCAAAAAAATGCACAGCAAGGTATAGACAGCAAATTGTGGAATATTTATATTTATGGCACAATACAGAATCTGTATACATGTATTTTAGTATGTTAACTACTTTAACAAGATGGCTCTGATAATCTAAACCAATGGATTCAAGGGATAAAATCAGCTACTCAAACTGAAGTAGCAAATTAATGCAAGTTCACAATTTTTTGGACAATATGCTCTCCACTATGGCAAAAACAGTTTTTGAAAATCCACCATATGCAACGTAATTTTGTTCTAGTTTCAGATTAGAACAAAACTTATCATTGTTTCCTAACCTTAATTAATTAACCTAATACAAGTGATCTTTCAAAAGAGATAAAAAGTCAAATGAAGAGACTTGAAAGTAAACTACAATTCCAAAACACAGTTTGAACTAATAACTGCAAAATGGTCATAACAAGTAACTGAAATTAATTGCTAATTTAAAATACAGTCATACCTGGCAATATGGCTTGGGGATAAACATTAGGTTTATTTTTCCTGATTGTACAGTAGATCAAAAAATAGATGGTACTTGTCAGAAATATACCACTGAAGTGTGCAAAAACATAATCTAAATCTGAAAGGGAAATTACAAAATTGTATTAGTCTAACCATCAGTTATTAACTATATTTATTTCACTCACATAGAGAAATTTATTTTATTCACATAGAAAAAACCACATAAGATGCTACTGCTAACAACTCAAATTCAATTGTGATTGTGATGAACACAGCTGACATTCTGACTGTGGACAGATTTGGTCAATAACACATATATTAAACATGAATTAGCTGCTGTGTTGACTGTAGCGTTTATTACAGGCTTTTATGCATTTCTGTGAGTTGTTATTTTTGGAAGTCTATTACTGAATTAATTTATTAAAATCTTAAGAAAATCCTCAGGTGAGGTTACAGAACTGGGGTAGGGATTTTACATAATTACATCCTCTCCTGACCATCTACATTTGTATTCCTGTATATAGCCTTGTTTCTCTTCTGTACATTTAAGAGAAAGATAACTTCACCTACTGTGTAAGTTAAACATGGCAGTTTTGTTCTTTTTTTATCCTGAAGAATGTGTCACAATTTTGATTAATCATTAACAATAACAAATCCTCTATGGACTTCGTATGTGCTAAAGAGAGTATTTCCAACAAGGTAAAGCAGAAGCATGTAGCAAGGTTATCTCCGTCCCTGGAGTTATAAATTCTCAACAGGAAAGGCACCTATAGTAATGATAACACTCGTTTTGTCAAGCTGGGGAATATGTAAGTTCCATTATTAAAGAGAAATTGTATGTGACATAACAAACAATTTCTTAATGCCAACTTTATGCAGTCTCTGCAATATCTTGCTCTCAAACTGCTGCTGGCATTACCTCATAGACTACACACTACATCTTAAGGAAAATGTTTCTGGGGAAATGTTGTTTGAAATTGGTGATTAGGCTTATGTTAAAAGGTTTCCATTTCCAAAACGACAAGATTTTAATTATTTATGTTGTTCTCTTCTGCTCTTCTGTTCATCAGTTATGATCAACCTTCTCTTCCTTTACTGGTGTACTAATTTGGCAATTGGTACAGCTGGTGTCCTTGTTTACCTCATATTCCAGACATATGAACTTTGTATTTTGAGTGTGCTCATATTTAATGCCTTCTGAAATACAGCCATGAATTAAGTATGGTATCCTCTGGGCTGTTTCTCACTGTTCTTTTAATGGTGTAATTCACCTCTGAGAAAAAGGGAGTGCTAGTACTATGATTATGACAACATATAACATAGTCCAGAACTGATAAATTGTCACGGTTGTAAGCAGGAGAACACAATATACTGATGAAATAAAGTAGAAATGATCTATTAGCCTTTACCAAATTGACTTGCTCCTGTGTATATAGTTTCATTTCTTCTTCCATGGTCCTTGATGTAAAGTACCGGTACAAAACTGGAACCATAAAGTATTCCAGCTACTACAGCCAGGGTACATCCTCTTTAAAAACAGCAAAAATCAGAGAAAATAGCCTAGCATTAATCAGGAAAGTAGAAAATATACAAGTCCAGTATTGCAGTTTAAGACTGCATATCATATGAAAATTGCTAGCAACACTATAAAAATATTACCTTTCAGCAGATTTTTATTTTCTAGTGCATAAATGGTTCAACACAGTAACTTAGTTTTTTCTATATTTTGTGGCCGGGTAAGAATGACAATTCCTGCCCCAAGAACCTGCAGTCTAGATTAATGACAAGAGAAATCAACTAACTAGGATTTCCTAAAAGCAGAGTTAGGAGAAAAAAAGCAAAAATACAATTAAAACGCTCCCACCCTCAGCTTCACTGTTGTAGTCTACACATTTTTTTAAAACTGTTCCCAGGTTCATTGCCTCTTTAGGCCCCTTCTTTGACTCCAGATAGCTGTGTTCTTGGCTATCTCCACTTCCCACACTGGTCCATTGCTACCTGCTGTCTCCACCTTGGAGCACTTCTGCTATCTCCCTACCGTACTGCCATGCCTTCTCCAGATGTGTTCATTCGGAAACCACATCTGGAAGTGTGTTATTAGCATAAGCTCCTTCTATGCTGGAGTGCTAATCAATCAGGTGATAAAAAACAGCTCTGTAATTACTTAGTTGGTATTGCTATTTACTTCACCAAATATTCTTTTGTTGCATTAACTAATACTTAACTGGGAAGGTAAAGCAAACTCAACAGTGCAAAGGAAATAATCTGATTAGTTGCGCAGCTATTCATATATAGATATATACACTATATTAGTACTTTAAAAACTGTTGTTTATAAGTGCCTGACTTAGGAAAACCACAGGACACAAATCTGCTCTTATGCTGTGTTCAACTACTTTCTCTGGCTACTTGGCCTGCATCGGTAAAAGAACTGTTAATAACTCACACGAGCCTCTTCTTTGCTGGAGAAAGTCTGTTCACCCACGAGTCATCAGAGGTATCTTCAGAAACATTAATAGACTGCAAAAACCCAAGAGTTTTCACACAAGTTTAGTTTAGTTTGATTAAAAAAAAAAAATTGCAAATATTGTATCATAAAGAACAGTTTGGCTCTAAGAAAATAAAATAAAAATGGAAGGAGAAACAAAAGGAATTTACAAAAATATTCTGAAGAAAGTAGGAATTTTTTAAAAAATAAAACAAACTCATAATTGGATCTACTTACCTTGAAGTTTACAAGTTCAGATGTGGACTTTGGGTTTACTACATAATAGAGCACTAACTAGCATTTTTAATATGCATGCAGGTAGATCTCACTTACAGAACTTGTCCCTCCTTAAATTTCATTAACTATTTAATCTATAGATTTTATTTATGATGTGGTTTTGCCTTTTGTTGATAGCTCTGGTGTTACTATCAGAATTAGGACTATTTGCAAACAGGAAAATTAATGCTCCTGTCTGCAGCATAAAGAAATTGCAACATCCCTTTATTTTAATCCTGCAATCAGATTGTCTTCTGTGATTTGGTCTGGTAGACTGGAACCTCTAGTGAGCATTGAGTACATCTAGAGGACTCTGAGGGGCTCTCAGTTCAGGTAGCAACTGAGCACTGACCTGCAAAAGTCAGGTACAATGGTAGTAGGAGCCTCTTGTTCTCCAGCTTTTGTTGCACACCCCAAGAAGCAACAGCCAATCTGGCACCCCTCATTGGCCTTCAACCTGTGCCACAGCTGACGCTGAATATCAGCGACTCTTGACAGGCCCCTGTCTCTGAAATGTGTCAAAAATTTGGCAGATAAGAGTTATACAGTGTTGCCTTTCATCTAAGCACCCTCCTAATTTTATAGTTAAATTTAATTAAAATTGCTTCCTCTTCTCAAATAGGAAAGTAATACACTCTTGTCTTTTATATAATCTCTGTCATTATGAAAAAAGATTTCTAAGCCATTTAAAGCTGACAATAGAGAAAGAACACTTGAAAAAACCTTTTCTGTTACATTTATGTGGACGTACAAGATCCACAAATTAAATACAATCAGTGTACATTCATGTAGTCTACCATAAATCCATAAATCTGGTTAACAATAGGCAGATTTTTGTTTTTAAATGGATATATACTTTCACTGCTTTAAAATAACTATAGAGTACTTACACTTTCTCTCAGCAAAGGTGTTCTTTCTAATGAAGCTGAAGAACTCTGGACTTCAGTTTTTATAAAAAGAAATATGACAGCACTCAGAAGAGAAAAATACACCAATAAATACCACGTCAGGTCATAAGGACATAACATTTAGTGTCCAAAGACAAAAGTTATATTTGGAGGCATATTACTTTATTTTCATTGTTGCCCTAGAGTCACTTCAATATATTTTAAAAATATTGCTTTTCACATTTTTAACAAACAAATTAAGTGACAGCAAGTAAATAAATTAGTCTTTGTATTACTTCATAGATTTCTGTTCTATGTAATGGTATTGAAACGTTTCCTTTTTACACTGTGTAGTTACGACTATGTTAACAGTTGCTTTAGTTAACAGTGCCCTTTTGTACCAAGCCACACATGCAGTGGAACATCTGCACGAAAATTCTACATGGAACAGCTTAAACCTGCACAGAATTGGCCCTGTGCTCAAGAAAAAAAAAGTTTTTAGTCTTCTATCATATGTGAGTGAGGCAATACTGTTCCTGCAGGGCCTCATGCACATGTGGAAGGAGAAGGGGTATTATTCAGTGGTGTTCCAGTGCATCCAGTGTTGAATAAAACAAAGAAAGAAGGGTAACATTACTACTTGTACCCACAGCTCCAGGTAATCAGGTAAATATGTGTAATCAGAACTGGCAGGATCTGTTTTTCATTTTTATGGGAGATATTTTAATTATTTAGGAATGCCTTCCCATAACATTAAACAGAATGTCTCCATCTGAAGAATGATTCATCTCCTACTGAAGAAATAAGGATAGATATAAAAGGATGTCAGCTTCCTCCAGAGGGACTAGACAAACATATACAAGAGGCTAAAATGAAATACATGCATCTGAGCTCTACAGAGCAACATACGCAGCCGTTGTGCAGCTGGCCAGGAAAACATGTCTGGTCACAATCTTTTTCCCGGTTGATCACTTCTCCATGATATCTCAGAAACAGGCAGGAAGCAGGTGGTGAGCTGAATTAAATCACTTAGCAGAAATAGTAGTACTGCTACTATTTTGTGAGTACCTCACAAAATTGCATGCTACGTCCAATGGTAATGGGTAAAAAGCTGCAGACTCTTAGGAAAGAGGAAGACTGGAAGCAAAATTCATGAATCTAAGGCAGCAGCTCTCTCCCAGCAATCAAAATGGCTCCATTGTCTCCATGTTCTTGGCACCCTTCTCCTACAGGCATTACGTGCATCTGCTGCTTAGCATGCATATATCAAGCCTACTGCCTCTGGGATTTAGGGCCCCCATTATGTTCCTAGAAAGACCTTCCTGGCCACCCAGTTGGAAAGCAAGAACACTGCTATGTAACAAAGAACCTCTTTCCTCTGTGCTTGGACCAAAATGTGCCCTCATACAAATACTAAACAAAAAGAGTAGAAGTCCTTCTGAAGATCCCAAAGGAAGCCATTGTCTGGGAGTTGTTCTAAGTGTGGCTTAAGAGTAACAAGATGAGGAACTATTAAGGACAAGATATAATGCAAAGTCTCTGGCTTTTCATGGACCCTGAAGTGTATGGGAAGGGGTCCTGTGGCATATTTTACAGATAAATAGGATGGATTTGTACCCGCAACTGAGTGAAGTCAGATCAGAAATCTCACTGAAGTATTCTCACCAAGATTCTTCTAGTCAGAATCATCTGAATAACCTACCTAGGGAGACAATAAGTGCAGCACTGCTTTGCCTTGAGCATGCCTATCAGAATATTTGTGTGTTTATGGCTAACCATTTCACCACTGTACTGGATATCATGCATGTTTCTATTCTGAAATACAACACCGACCAGCTAGGTATGGATAGCTCATGAATTCTGCAGTAAATCAATCTGCAACAAATACTTCAATACATTTGCCCTCTAGTTAAATTATCCCTGTGGTTATTAGCTATATGTTTTACATTACAGAAATTTATTATAAGAATAAATTTTTACCTTAATAGTGAAAGTCCAGCTCCAATATAATTTAAGATTGGTCTTGATACCTCTTCTGGGTCAATTCCAAACCAACCAAACCTGGAATATTTAACCAGTTTAACTTAGTTGCACTAACTGCATAGAAATAATTGAATTATAACCCAGTCTTGAAAATCTTTACTCATGTAAATAATTCTGCTTAAGTTTATATTTGCAATACTGGATCAGTGCTTCAGTTGGCTTGCAAAGAGCTATGTCTACAAAAGTAATCTTTAAAATAATTTAATTTACATTGGGTTTTTTAATTTATTTAAAAATTTAAGTTGATTTAAACTATTTTAACATCTCATGCAGTAGAACAAAAAAACCAGTGTATTAGTTTTACATGAACAAATACATTATTTATTCACTCAATTATGTTAATGAATGTCACTGGGCATTCTTCTTCCTATTGAGATAGCACACAGATAAAATAATTAACCTGATTACCTTACAGTGAGAGGGAAAAAGTTATTTTGTACATATGATAAATCCTATTTATTGGTGATACTGTTTTCACTGTAGTTATTAATAAAGAATTGGCAACATTAATTATGTACAATTTAAGATTTAAACATACTCACCTTGAACTTGCCCAACCTGTCAGCAAATTAAAAGAAGCCCATATCAAAAGACCAAGAGCTAAGCCAATAGTTTTAACAATAGGGACAACTGTAACATTGCCTGAAATACAAAAACCAGAATTAAAATCAGTTAAAAACTAGATTGTGATCTTGTGTATTTTTGCTTTATGTTCTGTGACTGTTCAGAAGACAAATCTAGGCAACTACAACATGTGAGGAAACTGTTTTTTAAAAATAAATACATTAAACACAGACTATTCCTCAATACCATTTTAAAAGCTCTTTTTGGTGTCAATTTGCTGCTTACAAAATAAGCATAATAAAATAATATTTCTATAATGGTACAGCTCCATGAATGCTGAGACTTTAAAAAGCCAAATAACTGCCAAATAACTACTACTTCATATATGGAAAAGTTTTTATCACTGCTTTTTTTACGAAGAGTTAGGATTACATCCAGTTTCAACAAACAGAATCTCTATCCTTACCTGTAGCCCACACAAAACCCCCAACCATAGCAAGAGGCCAAAACCGGGGGCAATTCTGGATTAAATTGACCACCAAAGAAACTATCCATATAGAGGCACAGAGAATCCACTGGAAGAACATGCCTATGGAAAAATCAAATGCACACAACAGAGAACTTGTAGAACACTGCAGGTGAATCTCTTAACATACTATGTTTTAGATAAAATAGTACAGAAAAAATTTGTAAGGTGGCCACCTCCCTTGTGAATTTCAGGGAACCGTGTTACAATACATTCAAAAGATATATTTTAGGGTGTGGTGTTACATGAAAATTTTGACAGGCTTCTGACAAAGAGGATATTCAGTTACTGCACACTTCTCCCACCACCCTAGCAGCTGCCAACACAGATGACTGCACAGGACAAAACTCTGCAAAACTCAGGGCTCAGACTTCTCCACTAGTCCAGGATATTGAGGATGATAAAAACTTTGGACAGATCTCTTCTACCTTTATAGATTCTCTAAGGGTCAAGTAGGCAGACCAGTTACCTTCACGCTGGCTAAAGCCTTTGCTTTGAATTCTACCCTTGTCTTTTTAGGACCATATTTGGCACAAAGAATAGAGAGAGGTTATATCCAGCCAGTAATGCAGATACTATTACTGCAGTAACATCATGCAGATTTATTCATCCAGGGGTCTGGGAACTGACTATGCTTCATATAAATGTGCAAATACAACATGAATCTAGTACAGTAAAGTGGTAAAATTCCAAGCAGGAAATAGAAGAGATTGTTACTTCTTACCAAGTCACTAGATGAAAGTATTAAATTTTTGATTGTTTTTATGTTAGGTTCACAACTGAAAGGCAATCCTCCAAAGTCCAAGAACTTTTACAGTATAAATGACACTGTATGTATTTAAGAATCCCCACAGGGTAGAAAAATGGACATTTCACTTTCCATTGTGAAATGCTCATGAAATGCACATTGCTGTTAAAATGTACAACACATAAAAAGGCTCTTTTAAAGATTTGCCACATCCTGAACCAATACATTATTGCTTTATACCCTAATGATAGCAAAGAAAATTAAACATGCTCTAGATTAAGGCTGTAATGATATTTATAACTCTAGCTATAGAAACTCTCATATTTACAAAAAATATCATTCCTGTTAGCAAAACCACCAAAACCAACAAAAGAATAGAAGAAAGTTTACCATCACCAGTATCAAATTTCTTAACAGGCACAAAGTTTGTCCCAAACAGAAGGACAGCTACTGTGGAAGATGTAAAGCCAATAGCTAGATCTGTTCCATTGCTGATGTTAAAGGTACTGTAAGTTTTCCCGACGTTCATCTTTGCTCTGAAGGTGCCTCTTTTTGTGGAGTTTTGATGTGGGTCCTGACAAGATTCTGAAATCAGAGAGTGGAATTAAACATTTGGAGTGTTAAATAATACCAACCTAGTTCAGAAATCTTAAACTTAAAAGGACCCTACTTATCAATCTCTCAAAAGCTGGAAAGAACTGCAAAGTATACTATAGAATCCCATGAAAAGGTTCCATGAAGCTTGAATGAAGTAACTTAATAACAGATGTACACACATACACACACACAAAAAAAAAACCCCACTATTTTGTGTTTCATAATCAGCTTCACAGAAAAGCATGTCTGAAAACATACAATAAGGTGAATGCAGAGATGCACTCAAAGGTCATGAGGACTTGAATCTGAGGCCTATGGGAAGCCCTGACACTTTAGGGAGATGCTCTATCACAATATTCCTTATTCCTGTAGCCAAAACACAAAATCTTAATTGGCAGAAGAAGCTATAGCAATTTGCAGCTCTGCTGTCTAGAATTCAGGAACAGGCACAGACCTTCTATAGATGCCACAGCAGGATCAATATAGGATCATAACGTAACCCCAGGGATTGCTCTAGCTGATTCAAAACGTGAATAAAGGTTTGGTTTTTGTTTTGTTTTGTTTTTTTTTCTGTGGGAAACAAAGGAAGAAGCTGCCTCTAAAATTTCTTTGTTTACTCCACATAACTATAATAAGAAAGGTAAAGATTTTTTTCTAATCCCATAATACCTTTTTTTTTAAAAAAAAAAAAAGTGATTAATCTTGAGGTTACACTCAATAGAAGTACCACATATATACTTCTGAGAGGATTATGACTTTGACAGAAAAGGTGGCTCTGAGGACAACTATAACATGATCTTTGAATACATAATCTTAACACCACACTGCATATAAGACTACATATAAGAAAAGTGTTTGGAAATTTAACTTCAAATGGCAACAGGATACTTAATATGCTGTGAGTATAAAGGGGCATATTTACATGCAATCCTGTTGTTGAAGTAATACTATTTATACTGAAACAGATGACACCCTAATGCAGTTTGACATTCTCCAGTGTAGGTGGATTGGCTACTGCCTGGAGGGAAAAAGCTGAAATAGGATGGTGGAAATTTTGCCTAATCTTCTAAGGGGTGCTGAGACTACATTCTACACATAAAAAGGAAGAGCTGAGCTGCTGCACATTCTTTCATCTTCTTTTACCCTTCAGTCTTAGCTTCCCTAGAGTTCTTAGGACACTGAGAACTGTATCTGCTGAGGTTGTGCTTTTATTTACAGCTTCAGCAGGGCCATCAGTGTCTGCTAAAATTAATTATTTGCATTAGCAGGTGAAAATTTCAATGCCACAACTAATATAACAATTTAGTTTCTGTAAGTCTTCCCCTTAAAAGATGTCAGTATATTTTTAACTTGATTACTTAAGAGAAACGCAGATGACATGTAGAAGACACATCATGAAGATACAATAGCACAGGTATTTCCATTTATCTTACTATCTTTTTCTCCTTCACTCTTCATCTTTCTTGCCTACTTAAAGAATAAGCTTCTCCAGGAAGATTTCACTGTATTTAAGACTCTTCTAAAAAGTATGTTTTACCTGGGACCCGTAGACATTGACTACTACAAATAACAATGCTGGGATTTCTTCAAAGACTGACTTCACAGGCTAAGAAACACTGTGACACCACAAGAATGGATTAAGATAAAGGCTTATATCAGCTATGTCCATCCCATCAACCTCAACTCGCTGCGTATTCACTCACATTTAATTCATTTAGTTGACAAAGAAGGCACAAGAGCTGGGTTTAACACAGCTTCATGCTGTTAAGGACATAGAAATAAAGCTGATTACACTGCACCTCTATGAATGCAGGACTCAGTACTGATGCAGGTAAAATATAAAGACCCTTTCAAATTTAAAGTGGTTTATCAGCCTTGTTGATTTTGATAATATACAGAGAAAAGTTATTTTAAAAATATTTCAGTTTTGTATCTACTAAGAGAAAATCTGTGTGCTGTGGGGCAGTATTCTGGTTTTTATCTTCCAAAAATCTCTACATTATGCACATTGGAGACTGTTGCACAATTGGAGAATCAGAATCATGACACCACAAATGGAAAGGAAACACAACTTCCAGTTAATTAAGGAAGAATATGCTTCACTAAGACTGACTAAAACTCTACAACTTTCCCACGTTTTGGGCACTTAGCTCCAAATTTAGCTAAATTCAGACCCAACTTTCAAATCCATTTTACAGCCTTCAAGAAAAAGCTCAACCAGACAATGTCTGGAGCAACCTGCTCTAACTTTGATGACAGCACTGCTTAAAGCAGGGAGTTGAACTAATGACCTCTGGAGGTTCATTCCAGCTAAATCCAATGTCAAGATCAAATAATAAACTGGCACACAGCATTAAGTTGACTACACTTTTTTGCATATGCTTGCACATACTTTGCACATCAGAGACCTTCAGAGATTTCACTAAAAGACTATTCTATTCTCTACAATCCTATGTTATTGCCAGAGGGACTTGCAGCATATGTTGTCTCCAGAGGTTTGTAGCTACCAAATGTCAAACCAGAAGCACCTGCTGAAGCTGCTAAGATATTAGAGGTTGTATATGAAACTCAAGCAGAGACAACTGGAATTGTTGCTGTTATTGAAGAATTTTTTTACTAAGTAGCCCTTACTGAAGGGCACTTTGGGGATCCCAAGCTGCTGAGGAAATATAATAGAATTTTGTTGGCACACATTGCCCTTATCCTAACTTCACTCGTTTACCTCACTGAAGATTGTGCTCTGTATTTTCAGTTTCCTCAGAAATATGCCACTATTTTCTTCCTTTGCACAGAGACATAACAAATCACGACGATCACTTAATGCCACAGCAACACACTGCTACAGTCTCTGCAGACAGGCACAATACCAAGAAACCTGCCCTTAAGAGCTTTCACCTCAAGGCTGATCCAAGCTATTGTTGAGAAACTGTGCTCATTTTTTATTTTTATAAGTTTCATGTCACATTGTCTGTTTATTAGCCTGTTCTCCTATCATCTACTTGTCATCAAGGGTGGATACTTTCATCCTTATTCTAGGAGACTCCTTATGAGTCCCGAAGCA